TCTGAGAAACCTGGATTTTTGGGGTGTTCGGAACTGGTCCCTCGCAGTGGTTGAACAAGATTAGAAGGGGGAGCAGCAAAACTCAATAGTGCTAGTCTAGCACTTCTAGGTCCAAGTTGCATTCAGATCGAGAAAGCTCTTCCAGGCACCCCTTCCACAAAGGTTCCTTGTCAACTTTCAACCCTACATGGAGCCCACACCAAATGAACAACTAACTTCTTGGCCGGCCGTGTGTATTTTGCTGTAAGGTACCTTCCCTTACAAAAGCACAGCCCCCCCTAGAGAGAGCCAGTCTGTCTGACAAGGGCTATGTTAGTTTCAGTGAGTGTATGAACAAAACATGGGTCTTCATGTCTATGGATCCGGGAACAACTTGCGGATCCAGTGCAGTGGAGAACCCTCTACACTCTACACAACATCAATGTCATGTGCTTTTGTAGGGAAGTGCCCCCTTTTCAGATAATTGACTTGGACTTGGAACAACAAAAACACAGACCCCGCCAAAAGAAGGAGAAGTGAACCATTGCTATCCGTTGCTTCAAGTTCGGCCGAACCTGGTGACTTGGGGCGAACCTGGTGACTTGGGGCGAACCTACTCAAGGCCCGCAATGTCGACCTCTATCCACCAATGGGGCCAGTCGGTCGCAACGTGCCTTGTCAGGTCCATTTCATCTAATCTATGTAACTGCATCAGTCAGTCCTCGCTCCGAACAACAGGCCCAACCTCGCTCTTGCGCTTGCTCTTCACCTGGCCAAGCACACAGACATGGGAGGGCATGGGGAAGGAGTTAGGATGGGTTAGGCTCCTGGGTGTTTTGAACATGTGCCCTTCACTCAGAATCATGGAATCTTCCCCATTTGCTCGCACGAGTGAGTCAGACTCTCCGGAAAAAGGAATTCGAGACCCATCAGAGCCGTGTCCATTTCGGTCGATCCTCATACCTTCTCCTTTCCTTTCGGATCGCTGTTGGGCCGTCGGATCGCGACCGAACCGAGGACTCGCGTGGACAGACGGCCGAACCAAACCGGGCATGAATGAAGAGGCGTCTGTTTTCCCCGATGCAAAACACAAAATACACCAAAAAGAAACACTTAAAGAGGATTGAGGATCCCTTTTCTTCCCCAATGCCTCCCACAGAGATTGGCCAGAATTCTCATGGGAATGGTGCCAGAATTTCTTGAGTCATCATGAGTCGTTCATTCCTTCCCATCAGTCATCATGGCATCGGCTCCATCAGCTCCATCCAGGACAGGTGGAGCAGATGGGGGAGTCACGACACCCCACCTCCTCCGTCAGAACTTGGAGCTCCTTCTCAAGAGCCTCCGTGGGTGCCGCAACGGCCAGAGTCGGTGTGTTCGTTGGCAGGCACAGGCGGTGCACCGAAACGGAAAAGGAATGAAAAACGACGGAATCAAATCCAGAACAGATGGGATTAAACTACGTATTTATACAACATGCAGGATCAAATCCATTGAGAACACAAACTACGACAACAAAACAATGGGGAGGTGCTGAACACCGTTATTCTTCTACCAGATTGGTGACATACGACTTGCTGGGAACACCTAGGGTGCATTATCTTGTGTAGGCTTTTGACTCACGACACATAGGTGGAGCCCAAATCAAGAGCTCCGGCCAGACCACCATGCCATCTAGGAAAAGTGGGGCAAATGTTTACAGGTACCTGCATGTTCGCGCTCGAGCCCCCCGAAATGCAGTGATGAAGCTGCCAGGCCAGCCGCGATGGCACCCGCCCGATGGCACCCGGGGGAAGCGCCTCTACCTTTGAGTGGCTCTGCAGCAGCTCCTGTTCGCAGCGCCTCATCTCCACCTGCAGCGGAGCGTCCGACCCCAGTGACTTGCGCGGACGTTCTGCACTGGACCTCCGGATCCAGCTTTGGTCCCGGTCCGTCCAGGTCCGCCGTCACAGGCGCATCTGCGCAACAGCCGTAAAAAGCTTTGCTGCTTGGGGAAATGCCTCGAGGATGTGCATCTGCAACCGAGCAGTTTCTTCTTGCCGCTTTGCTTGCTCCTGCGCGGAGCCGGGAGAGATTCCAAGAAAGACATCATCTGGCCATGCCAGGCGACGTGTAACAGGAAAACCGATCACTCTCTGCAAAACCAGGGACCGGTATTTAAAGCAAGTAACTATGTGCCTCTTCTACACTAAATGTAGAAGGCATTATATGAATATATATATAGTTATATAATTTCATCTCTACTATGATGCGTTGCAATTGGGTATAAAATTGTATTACAATGTCTATTTCATAGATTCCAGTTGCCTGTGAGCAAACCAAACCTGAAGCACGAAAAGGGACATGAAATTATTTGTTTTTAGGGCTGTCGTTTGGAGACACTTTTCTGCACTCTCCATCCTTGTCCATGTGTTCAGTCCGTCCAGCCGTGTGGTACCCTTCGTGGTAACCCTTTGTCTTCATCTTTCTTTGGCACCACATGGACTCCAAAAACGGCCGATGGTCTCCCGCATGGTCTCCCGCTGGGGTTCCATGTCGTGTGTCCTCCAAGTCCCGAGCTCGTCTCTCCAACTGCGCCTCCGGCGACGACCCCGACCAGATGAACATACAATCATACAGGCCTTTGCCAAAAGTCTCCAAAATGGGTCTTTCATGTTCTTCAGACAGGAGTCTGCGTCCAGGCAATGTGTTGGGAGCCAAGCTTGGGTTATTATTCGGCTTGCTTTTTGAATGCCATGCACATGGATGAGTCCATGACGGAAAAGATGCGGCACGATGTCTTGGCTTTCCAAAAGCTTAAACCTGTACTGTATACAGTATAAACCATCATGATGTTGATAGAAAGTTGTAGGGAGAGCAATCTAGAGGGCAAAACGATGACCATTTCTGTTTGTGGTCATCACCAATCACCAACTCCGGAACCAACCCACAAGCTCTCCAAACGTCTCCTGTCACTGCTTACTTTCATCATGCAAGCACGTTTGCAAAAGCTACAACCTGTACAGTGCTCTATCAATGTGCCTGCTCGTCAGACGTGTTCCAATCATTCGACCGACTATTCCTCATTTTGCTCCGCCATCGATGCACCCTTTAGGTCATCTGCAGCAGATCTCCCTTCTCAGAACCACTGACCTCTGGAGCCAGAGCGAGCCGGCTCACTCCCAGGCTTCGCTGCTCTCCGGGTCAGAGGTGACGCCACACCTGCGGACGGCGGACAAATAGAGAACTCTGCCCTCTGAAAACCGCCCCACCATCGTGGTGGAGTAGGAAATGAAAAATGTCCTTTGACAGCAGTCCAAATGCAGTTCCTGCGACAGTTTTCCTGCATGGAAGGTCAACCAAATGCTCAATGTTCCGTTGGCTCCCGCGGGAAAATGTCACTGGCATGAGTTCAGCCTCCGGACTTCGTGGCAAGTGGAACACCAAGGAGAGGGTCCATTGCCGGTGGCGATTTCTAATATTGGTTGTTGGGCCTAACCATATCTGCCATTCACGGCACCATGTCCTATTGCTTGGGACATGCACAACAAAAATGACACTTCCAATTGATGGCAGGCGCCGGCACATGAGCGAACTCTCGCCCACCTTTGGTTGGAGTGGCTGTGCCGCCGTGCCAAAGTGAAAAGAGCGAAGGACGCTGCCCCTGGCAGCAAATTCTGAAATTCAACCGAAGGGGTCCGACGTCCGTCTCAGGCACAAGGTTCAGGTGTCATGAGTCCTTTTTCAGACTGAATACTGAGTCATACTTCTGAAAGGGATCAGAAGGGAGTCCTCAGCACTTGCCACACCTGCGGTTAATCTAAATTCTAGACACAATTGTCATGAAAAGGTATGAGTCATAATTAGTTAATATAAATATATAATATAATATAATATAATCATATTCTCCAATAGGCTGCAGGAGACTGCTTGGGGATGTTTGATGATTTTTGTCCTCACCTCGCCTAGCATTGCGAGCATCGAGGGCCCCACAAACCAAGGCTGGGCAGCTTGCGCGATGGGATTCCTCCTTGGAAACACCGGGCGTTTGGAATCTGTTCAGTCCCGCTGCACCAAGCCAAACAGTTTGGACGTTCACCGTGACCGAACCAAAGAATGCACTTGTTTCTCCAACAAAAGGCTGGCAATGGAAGCGAGAGACCACTGAAACCACGTGCGTTTCACCGACTTTCGACAGCACATGGTCGAAATGTGCGTCAGGGCAGGGAGTGAAAGATTTGGTGTGCTATCTTGGGTCTATCCTATTGCCAGTCATAGGAAAACTGTTACAGGTGTATAATAAGACAGACCCAAGTTCTATCCCTTTATGGTGTTCATTGTGTTTGTTTTGTTGTTGATTTGTTGGCGGCATTGCCATTTCACATTGGCTCCTCCCTGAAAAGCGAACCATGGTCTCGCGTCATCTTCATGCATTTCAAGGGTCTCGGCATCCGCATCCATCAGCACTTTGCTCTCCATTGCCAGGTGCTTCTCTACATTTTCTTCACCCACATAAGAACCTTGGGCCCACAGGAAGCCACAGCTTGCGGAAGAGGGGTTTACATTTCACCATCCCAGAAACCTGTCTGGTGGGTTAACACAGGATGCCAACATCGCAGCTTTGAATTTTGGGGAAAGCTGTCGCAGCGAGCACATATGAGCACGTGGCATTCAAACAGAGGCGGTTGCCGACCACAAGACCTGTTGCCCAGCACGTCGGCATCCAATATATAGATGCGAAACGGGTTTGCCTGCGCCTTCAGGAAATGCAACGTAAGTGCAAAGTTGAGAACAACCTCCTTGCCGCCCCATTGCTGCCCTTGCACTCACGATCTTTGGAACTCAAGAAAGGACCAACAGTTGGAGACTGAGTCTTCGTCACCTTGCGAGATCCCATGGCAATGAATCTGAATGAATCCTTGCTAGAGGATCCCAAGTCTTCGTCCACTCACCACCCTTTTTTGCCACTCTGTTCATTCCCAGGTGCTCAAGAGGAAGCCATAAACTCGCTCGAGATCGAAAGCGGAATCCAGGTTCTCCTCGATCCAAGGGAGCCCACGCCGCCCACGGCCAGAAGACGTGGCACACGGCGACCCAGCTACTCGGGCGAAGGCATCTCAATTCATTCTATCGAAATACATCCGAAAGATCTCGAAAGGATTTCTTCGCCCCAAAACGCCCGAAGTGAGGTTGGAGACTGGAAGGGCTACAGAACAAGAGCCTCCGGTCCAGAGTGAAAACGATCAAGTGGCCTGTTCCTCATGGGGCTCCCGGAAGAACCTGAACCCACCCGGCGGCGACCGTCGTCCCACCCGTGTGACCGCGTTGTCGTCAACGCATCCGTTCAAGCGCGAAGGACCGGACCGGCGTTTGAGGGGAGAGTGGCGAGCCGAACACATGGAAGAGGTTGAAACAAGGTACGCTACTAGGAACAAGTGCCTCGCTACTAGGAACAAGTGCCTCGCTACTAGG